ACCAGGACAGTGCCAGCAGGACACTGGGCACCAAACCATCCCCAGGCACCTCCTGTCCCTGTCACAGCCCCTCAAAGCCCCCTGTCACCCCCTCCTAGAGGTGTCACCCCCTCCCCTTCCCTGCTCCTCATTAGCCCCATTTTCATGTTAATGACCTGTCTCCAAGTCAGGAGGTTTTTTTTCTTCCCATCTCGTGACTCCACTTCTCCTTCCTCCCTCGCCTCCCTGTTCCCGTGACAACCCCTCCTGTCACCTCTCCCGGGATGTGCAGCCCGGGAACACCCCAAAAGCCCCTCTGCAGCCTCCCCCTGCCCCGAGGCAGCACCGGGAGCCGGCAAAGGGGGTCCCTGGGGCCTTCCCTGTGCCCCCAGGAGGGGACGGAGCCCGGGGGCTCTTCCAAGGCTCCCCCGGAGCAGTGGGAAGTGTTTGGGATCACAGCCGGGACCCTCCACCCGCCGGGATCACTGTGGGGTGTCCCAGAGGTCGGAGTTTGCCGTGGGATTGAGGGGAGGGCAGGGCTGGGACCCCCAAGAGCCTGTGGGACCCCCCAGAGCCCCTCTGCCCTACAATGAGCCCCCGATGCCCCCCCCCCCCAAAGCCTCTCTGTCCTACAATTAACTCCCCCCAAACCCCCTCTACCCCCCTAAGGAACCCCTCTGTCCTACAACGAGCCCCCCAGAGCCCCTCTGCTCCACGAGGAGCCCCCCAAGATCCCCCCACGAGCCCCGGTGCCCCCCGACAGCCCCTCCCCGGTACCGGGACCCCCCCTCCTCCCCCTCGCCGTTCCCGGTTCGCAGCCGCTCGCGGGGCTCCCGGTCCCACCGATGAACCGGGAGAGGGGAGGGGGGGGGTGGTCAGAGCGGTTAACGGGCCCGTCCCTGCCCCGGGACTCCCCCGGGGACAGCCCCGTCCCGTCCCCACCGGCAGCCGCGTTCCCGGGCCCGCGGCGGCACCGGGGCCCTCGCACAGGGGCCAGGGCCGTGTCTGAGCCCCGCCGAGGTGCCCCCAGACCCCCCAAAACTCCCTCGGATCCCCCCAAAGCCCCCCCCGATCCCTCCGGTACCTCCCGGTGCCGGGTCCGGTCCCGCCGGGAGCCGCTTCCGGCCCCGCCGCCACCTCTGACCCCGGAAGGGAAACGGCGGCACCGACCATCGCCGGCCGCGGGGGGGGAGGGGGGGGACCATTCACACCGGGGGGGACACTGGGGCTGGGAGAGACCATTGATATCATTGGGGGGGGTCAGCGAGCCTGGGAGAGACCATTGTACATGGAGGGGGAATCTATGGGGCTGGAAGAGACCGTTTACTATGGGGGGGGGTCAGTGGGGCGAGGAGAGACCATTGATAACAGGGGGGCTCAGTGGGGCTGGGAGAGACCATTGTACATGGAGGGTGAATCTATGGGGCTGGAAGAGACCATTCACCGCGGGGGGGGGGGGAATCCATGGGGCTGGGAGAGACCATTCCCAAAGGGGAGGTGGATCAGTGGGGCTGGGAAGGACCATTCTGCACATTGAGGGGGGAGAGAGATGTCCATGGAGCACTTGGTCCTGCCCCATATCCCCCTTCTCCGGCCCCCAGAACACCCCCATCCCCTGCCCCACACCCCTGAGCTGTCACCACCCCCATATGGGGGTCGAGACCACCCAAACACGGGGGTCAGGACCCCCTATAAACAGGGGTCAGAACCACCCCCCCACCAGGGGTCAGGAGCCCCCCACATGGGGATCAGAGTCCCCCAAACACAGGGGTCAGGAGCCCCCAAACACAAGGGGGTCAGAAAACCCCAAATGTGGAGATCAAGACTCCCCCAACCAGTTCAGGACCCCTCATACAAAGGGCTCAGAAGAACCCAAAGAGGGAGGTCAGGACCCCTCCCACATGAGGGTCAGAGCTCCCCGAATCATGGGGGTCAGGACCCCCTTAGACAGTGGCCAGGACCCCCCCAACATGGGTCAGAGCCCCCCATCATCCCCCCCATCCCAGCCCCCCAGTCACTCTCCATCCTCTGTACAGCCGTTTATTGCGGGCGGGGGGCTCTGCTCGAGGGGCACCGGGGGGGGGGAGGACCCAGGGGGGGCTGGGGGGGCCCAGACCCCTCCAGCACCCGTGGGGTCCCTCCCCAGCCCCTGCCCTGGCAGCCGGGGTTGGGGGTGGCACGAGGCCCGTGGGGAGGGGATGGGGAGGGGCCTGGCATGGCCCGGCATGGCCCAGTTTGGCCCAGTACGGCCCAGTTTGTCCCGGCATGGCACGGCACGGCGCGGCACACGGCAGACGAAGCGCAGGCAGCGGGCAGGGGGGCGGCCGGGGGGGCACAGGCGAAGCTGCTGGGGCCGGATTTGGGGGGTGTTTGCTGGCGGGGGGGGGCCGGGTCCCAGTGTCCCGGTGCCAGCTAACTGGTGCCCAGCGGGAAGGTGGGCGAGTGGCGCTCGGTGCCGATGGGGCGCGGGGGCACCTCGGAGAAGCCCACGTGTCGCCGCTCTGGGGACAAACAGGGGGGGTCAGCGAGGGCGTGGCAGCGTCAGGGACACCGGGGGCATGGGGGGGACACACCCCACGTACCCCCGGTGCCACCATCCTGCTCCTGCCCCAGCTCCTCCTCGTCACCCTCGTCGCCCTCGGGGTCCTCGGGGATCTCGGACACTGTCAGTGCCTTCAGGTCCTCCTCGCGCTCGTCGATGCCACCGGCGAAGGAAACCTTCTGCCCGCCTGTGGGGGGACAGGACGGTGGCCCTGGTGGCCGGGATGGTGGCCCCGGTGGCACCCGATGCGGGGTGACCCCGCTGCAGCACGGGGGGAACGGGGCTTCCAGTCCCAGTGACCGCCTGGCACCCCCGGGCGAGGGGATGCAGCAGTTGGGTGGGTGGGTGGGCACAGACCTTTGTGGTCCCTGTGACCCCACCATCCCCATCCCAATCCTCCCACCATCCCCATCTCCTTGCCCCCCCTGCCACACCCACCCCTCCACCACCCCTGTACCCTCACTGTCCCCATCCTCCTGCCACCCCTGGCCCCCCACCATCCCTATCCCTCCACCGCGCCCGTCCTCCTGCCACCCCCATCACTCTGCCATCCCTGTCCCTCCCACTGTCCTCATCTTCCTACCATCTCCATCCCTGTCCCCCCATCATCCCCATCCTTCCACCATCCCTGTCCCCCCACCGTCCCCATCCCCTCACCATTCCCATCTTTGTCCTCCCACCATCCCCATCCCTCCACCATTCCCATCCTCCCACCACCCCTGTCCCCCCACCAACCCCATCCCTCCTCCATCCCCGTCCCCTCTCCGTCCCCATCCCGTTACCTTTCCGCTTGTGCGCCTTGAGCCCCGCGGGGAAGTAGCTCCTCTCTCTGCCCTGGCTCCCCGGGGCTGCCCGGGCGGGGGTGGATGAGGCCGGGGCAGGGGGGGGCACGGCCGGCACCGGGGGCACCGCCGGTGCCACGTCAGCCCACGGCCGGGGGTCCCGCTGGCGTCACCCGGCCCCGCGGGGGACAGGGACACGGCCCGGCGGGTGAGTGGGCAACAGGGACGCAGGGACAGGCAGCAGGGATGGGCAGCACCAGCCACAGCCAGTCTGTGTCCTCCCCGCCCCCTGGGCACCTCCCCTGCCCCCGAGGGCTACAGGGGATGGTGGTCCCAGTCCCTGCTCCAGCAGCCCTGTCCCAATCTCCACGTGCCCCCCAGGCTCCAGAAATCCTGTCCCCGTGTTCCCCGGGCTCCAGAAGCCCCGACCCCACAGCCCAACATCCCCTGGACTCTGGTACCCCCATCGCCCTGTCCCCGTGTCCCTTGGGCTTTGGCACCCCTATCTCTGTGTCCCCACATCCCGTGGGTTCCAGCAGCCTCATTCCCACATCCCCGCATCCCCTGGGCTCCAGAATCCCTGTCCCCCTGTCCCTATGGCCCCCAGGCTCTGGCATCCCTGTCCCTGCATCCCCTGGGGTCTGGCACCCCCATCCCCATGTCCCCTGGGCTCCGGGACCCCCATCCCCACGTCCCCCCCCATGGCCCAGTCTCCCTCAGCCCCGTCCCCGTGCCCCCCTCACCAGACTCGAGGCCGCTGTCGGGGTCGCAGCCGTGCTCCCCATCATCGGGCTCCCCGTCCGAGCTGTCCCCCCCTCCCAGGCCGCTCTCCTCCAGGTGGGACTGCACGATGCGCTGCACAGCTTGGGGACACACCGGTGTCACCGGGCACTGGGGGCACTGGGAGCACTGGGGTCTCTCCTCCAGAGGGGCTTCAGCCCCCCTTTTCCCCTCAGTGCCCCAGTGTCCCCCCCAGTGCCCCAGTGTCCCCCCCAGTGCCCCAGTGTCCCCCCAGGCGGTACCTTTGAGCGAGGGTGGGGTGTAGGCACACGGGTTGGTCCTCTTTGGTTTGAGCAGGCAGCCCTCGCCCGAGGAGCGCTGTGGGGGGAGCAGCTCTGGGGTGGGGGGTCCTGGTGTCCCCCCAGCACCAGAGGGGCCAGAGGGAATCAGGCCCCCCCCCCAGCCAGGTGGGTGCTGCGATGGGGGGGTCTCATGATGGGGCCCCAAGGCAGATACAGCCCCCCACCCCCATGGGGATGTGGTGTTGGGGACCCCCGTTGTGGGGACACTGCCATGGAGACCCTGGGTTTGGGGCCCAGCTGTAGGGACAGGGCATTGGAGACCCCGCAGTGGGGACCCCTCCACGGGGACACGGCACTGGGGACCCCCTGATGGTCACAGGGCCATTTACACTGTGGCCAAACCCCACAGCCTGGCTCGGCTCCGTATCCCTGTCCTGTGTCCCCGTCCTGTGTCCCCGTTCTGTGTCCCCGTTCTGTGTTCCCGTCCCCAGCGCTGGCACCGTGTGCCCGTCCCGGGAGGGAGCCGATAAGCACCAGGCGCCAGGGCTGGGCCCCGATAACCCCCGGGGGACACGGGACAGGGGGACGGGGCTGTGTCGGGGGGGGTCCTGGTGCCCACTCACCTGGTAGGGCAGGTTCTCGTCCTCTGGATTGGCGGTGCCAGGAAGAGAGGGGTGAGTGTGAGGGGGGCTGCTGGCACCCTCGAGCCCCTGTTCTATGTGTTATCCTGCCACAGCGTCCCCTCCCTGCCACCCCATCCCGTATGTGGCACCCCGTCCCCTCCCCACCGCCATGTCCCATCCCAGACATCCCATTCCACAGGGGACACCGCATCCCACCCATCACCACATCCCCTCCCTGCCTCCATGTCCCGCCTCAGACATCCCATAACGTGCAGGACACCGTGTCCCCTCCGTGCCACCGTGTCCCCTCCGTGCCACCATGTCCCATCCATGACATCCCCCTTCCACAGGGGACACCACATCCCGTCCCTGCCACCACGTCCTGTCCCAGACATCCCATAACACGCAGGTCACCATGTCCCACCCCTGCCACCACCTCCTGTCCCTCGATCAGACATCCCCTGCCCCGTGTCCCACCCGTGTCCCTCTCACCTGGGGAGGAGTGTTCGGAGAGCTGGAAGAGCATGGCCGGCGTGGGCCTCCTCCGGCGGATCTGGGGCACAGCGGGGTGTCACGGGCTGGGGACGCCCCGGCTCCCCTGTCCCCTGCCCCGCACCCCGGGGACACGTGTCTGCACGTGTGTGAGGGTGTGTGTGGGATTGGGGACACGGACCCACCCGGCCCGGGGCCCCCAGGCTGTCCCCGGTCCCTCCCAGCCCCACGAGAACCCCAGCTCCTGCCGGGCCCCTCTGGGAGGGCTCCAGGTCCGGCGTGTGCTGGGAACATCCCCTCGGATCAGGCACAACCAGTGGGGGTGGCTCCACTGCCCCCCAGCGTGTCCTGTCCCCTCCGTCCCGTCCCCGTCCTCATCCTGTCCCCTCCATCGAATCCCTTCCCTCTTGTTCCCTCTCTGTCCCTGTTCCTGCCCTGTCCCCCTGTACAACTCTCCCTCCGCGGGACCGCGGCTCCCACGGGGACCTTGGAGCTCCCTCCTTGTTTCATCCTGTGTCCCCCATCCAGTCCCGTCCCCTTTGTCCCCCCCGTCCCGTGCCCTGCCCTCTCTGATCCCCCTTGTCCTGCTCTGCCGGTACCATCCCCTCCCTTCTGTCCCCTCTGTCGCCTCCGATCCCCCTTGTCCTCCTTCCCGGTTCCATCCCCTCCCTCCCCTCTGTCCCCTCCCATCTCCCCCTTGTCCCATCCCATCTGCCCCAACACACCCCTCACGTCCCCTCTGTCCCCTCCGATCCCCCTTGTCCTGCTCTCCCCGTCCCATCCCGTGCCTCCTGTCCCTTCTGTCCCCTGTCCTATCCCCTCCAATCCCCCTCGTCCTGCTCTCCCAGCCCCACCTTGTCCCCTCCTGTCCCCTCCGACCCCCCCTTGTCCCATCCCGTCTCTCCTGTCCCCTCCAATCCCCCTTGTCCCATCCGCTCCCTCCTGTCCCCTCAGTCCCCCGTCCCTCCCTGCCCCACTCCAGCCCCCCAGGGTTCTCCAGTGTGCCCCCCTTATCCCCCCCCGGTTACTCCGGGGGTCCCCGCACCCCTCTTTACCCCCTCACCATCTCGACGGCGCGGGGGTCCAGCTGGCTGGGGGGGGCCGGCACGGAGAACTGGATCTTCTTGCGCTCCTTGGGGTCCATGGCCTTGGCCGGGAGTCACCGGAGCCGGGGGGTCTCTGCCGCCGGTACCGAGCGGAGTTCGGTGGCGCCCGGGGCTCGGTACGGCGAGGAATGAGAGTGGCGGGAGGTGGGGAAGGCAGAGCCGGTGAGGAGGAGGAGGAGGAGGAGGAAGGAGAGGGAGGGAGGACACGTCTTCCTACCAGGCGCTGAATTATTCATCCCCCCCTCCCCGGGCAGGGGGGCTGAGGCCGCGGTAATGAGTCCTTGGGGAGCCCCTCGGGGGGTTCAGCCAACCCGTGGGGGGTCCTTAACCCCTTCCCTGCCGTGGGGGACCCCCGGCTGCGGTGGCGGGTTGGGATGGGACAGGGACGGGTGTCTCCATGTCCCTTGTGCCTCGGTCTCCCCCGGGGCGGGGGTGGGCAAGGGGTGGGGGTCCGGCCGCTCCCACCCTTGGGTGGGCAGTGGGAAAATCTCCTCCCGGGCTGCTCTGTGCTGCACGGGACAGGGACACCACTCCGGGGATATGGCCAGGGGACATCTGTGGGGACGTGGGACCCTCAAAACATCCCATCACCTGCGTGCTGGGGGTCCCCCCCACCCCCAGCTGCAGCCCCTGGGATGCCGGAGGTGGGGGGCTGTGCCCTCACCCAGGCTGTGCCCACCTGCCCCGGCTCTTCCCTGGCCCTCAGTGATTTTCCCCACAGAAAATCCCATGAAAAGACAATTTTTTCCCCCCGGGGAAGTGGGGGCTCAGCCCCCCCGGGCACCACTTGGCACCGGTTTTGCACATTCCACACAGGGGGGGCCTGGGGCATCAAAGGCATCTCTCCGGACCCCGCTGAGGGGGCACAACCAGGGGGGTCCCTGCGCAGGGGGACAGCAGGGTCACCAGGAGCTGGAGAAGTGGCTCGTCCCCTCCCGGGACGTCCTGGGACAGTGGCCATGGAAGCCGCCCCTGAGCAGGAATGAGGAAGGGGGAGCTGGGAACTGGCTCCGTCCCCCGGATCTCCCGGTGCTCCAACGGCTGCGGGTGGCCCCGGGCCAGCAGCCGCCGCTCCAGCAAAATATTTACCCGAGTGGCACCGAGCCATGGACCAGCCTCCCGCCCGCCCGGCACCACGCGGCACAGCTCGGCAAAACACGGCAAAACTCGGCTCTGCCTGGCAAAGCTCGGCTCTGGGGGACAAATCGTGGCTCTGGGTGGCAAATCTTGGCTCCGGGTGAGAAATCTCAGCTCTGCGTGACGAAGCCCAGCTCTGGGTGATAAAACCTGGCTCTGGGTGATAAAACCTGGCTCTGAGTGACAAACTTGTGCCTGTGGCTCAAGCACAGTGCCCACCTGGGGACACCCCAGGGCCCGACACCAGCACAACCCAGTGTCCCCACAGAGGCCAAGACTTGGGGACAAGGGAAGGGGGTCCCTCAGTCACCCCGTGCCTAAGCTGGCCCCGTGCCAGGCGTCCCCCGTGCCAGGCTCTGAGCATCACCCCCATCCCGGGACCCGGGTCGTTATGGCAACAGGTTCCCGGGCTCCATCCCGCTGCCTGTTCCCGCTTCTCCCACCCACGAGGACGCCGTGTGAGGGGGTGGCCAGGCCCCCTCCCCTCCCCTCCCCTCCCTGCGCTGCGGCAGCGCCGGCACCCGCAGCCCCCCGGGATCGGCACGCGCCGCCCGCGCCCGCGCCCACGCACGGAGCACCCGCGGGTGGCACCTGCAGCGTGGCACGGGGGGGGGGCCACACCGGGCCTGGAACACGGCAGGGGGGTGGGCACCTTCCAGGCACACGTGTGGCACACATGGTGGCCCCGCTCCTCACCGGGACGGCCCCGTAAGGGGACCATGGGCACCCGTGCCGTGCCCGTGCCCGTGCCCGTGCCTGTGCCGTGCCAGTCCCCGTGCCCGTGCCGTGGAGCTGCGGGGGCTGCAGCTCTGTGCAGCAGCGAATCCTCCCTCAGAGAAGAGTAAAAATAGCAGCAGGTCGAGGGAAGAATCTCTCACCCCCCCACCAGTGGGCACCGGAGAGGAGCCACGGCCACAGGGACGGACATGGCGCGGTGGCACAGGGACAGTGGGCGGCGGGGAAGGGGCGTCGTGGGGACAGGGGGACATGGGGGCAGAAGGCTGTGGGGATGGGTAATTGTGGTGTCAGGGTTACTCCAGGGCAGGGGGCTGCGGGGATGGGGTGTCGTGGGGACAGAGGGCTGCGGGGATGGGGCATGGTGGGGACAGGGTGCCATGGGGATGAAGGACACCCCCGTGGGGATGGGGACAAGACAGGGACAGAGCTGGGGAGGGAGCGTCGCGGTGATGGGACACACCAGGGATGGAGCACTGCGGGGACAGGGAATCAGTGGGGCAGTGGGGACAGGGTGCCCTGGGGATGGAGCATCGCGGGGACAGGGCATGCTGGGGACAGGACAGAGCGACGCGGTGGTGGGGTGCACCAGGGACGGAGGGTTGTGGGGACAGGACGACATGGGGACAGGGTGGGGACGGGGTGCCGTGGGGACAGGGCCCTGCGGGGACAGAGCATCCTGGGGACAGGCACAGCGGGACGATCGCCCGGTCCAAGGGTGAGTGTCGGGGGGCGGGGCCTGTCAGTGAGGGGGCGCGGCCAGAAGGTGGGCGGGGCTCTGTCGGGGCGGGGGCGGTCGGGGGGCTCCGGGACCCCCCCAGTGCCCCCCACGCCGGTACCCCCCTCCGGATCCCCTGCCCGGCCCTGCGGGGGTGTCCCCACCCAGTCCCTCTGTGTCCCCCCTCCAGCTCCCCCCGGGCTGAGCCCCCCGAGACCCTCCGCACCCCAAGACCCTCCGTGGGCGTCCCCCCCCACCCCGGAGCTGCAGCGGGGGCGGCGGGTGGGGGCCGGAGCTCCCCCCGGGGCGCAGGGGAGGAACCGGGAGTGGGAACACGCGTGGGAAGAAGAGCACGCGTGGGAACCCGAGGGGGGGGAGGCGCGGGGGGCTTAACCCCTTCGCTGCCGGGAGCCCCCCATGAGACCAGCCTGGGGGGCAGCAGAGGAGAAGGGGGGCCTGCGGGAGGGACCCTCCCCAAATGGGGCTCCACAGGAGGGGGCTGGGGAGAGGGCATCCCCCTGCCCCACACGGGGGCACTGGGCAGCACTGGGGGGTGTGATGGGGAAGCTGGGCAGCGCTGGCAGGACTGGGGGGGCTGCACCCCCATAACCCACCACGACGAGGGGGCTGCGACCCCCTATCCATGGAAAAACGCGAGGGCTCCCACCTTGGCACGAGGAGGGGCTGCGTGCCCGTGTTCCTGGTGGGACAGAGGGTTGTGACCCCACAGCTGGCAGGATGGTCCCCCCACCCCAGCAGGGTGGTTGGGGGGCTGTGCCCTCCCTGCCCCCCCCAGAGCTGTGCCCGGTGCCCCCTGTGCCCTCACCAGCCCCCTGTGCCCACAATGACAGATGTCACTCCTGACGCTGGCATGGCCAGGCTGGCACGGCCACCCAGGGCTGGCACGGCCACCTGAGCTGGGCACTGGCTCAAGGGCTTTGGCAGCTCAAGGGGTGGCCGGAGCAGAGGCACGGCTGGAGATGTCCTGCTTGGCAACCACCAGTCACCGGCCACTGGCCCACGCCAGGCCTCACACCCACAGCAGGGGGTGGGATGGGGGGCTGGGGGCACTGGAGGGTCCTGGGGCAACACCCCCGGGGTGGGGACCCATCTGGGCAGGAGCTGGGATGGTTTAGGGTTGACCTGGCCCAGGAGGAGCTGAAAGGGGGAAACCTTGGAGGGGGAAATTTTGGGGAGGAATATTGGGATGGGTATGGAGGGGACAATTTGAGGGTCCGAGGAGGGAAGGGGTGCAGCCTGGGGGTCTCCTCTGCCTGGGGGACACCACGCTGGCCGTGCCTCAGTTTACCCACCTGTAACACGTGCCCTCCACACCCCAAAACCCCCCTCGCCCCCTTCCCTGTGGAGCTGAGACCCCGGGAGACCCCAAAACCCATCCTGGTACTCCCACGGCGCCCTGCCAGGGTGGTCTGTGGGGGGGCTCCTAGCCCTGCTCCCCCCAGCACATCTCTGACCCCCCCGGGGTGGCCAGGCCGCCAGCACAGACCAGTTTGCTGCCTCCATTCCCAGAAGAAAGAATAAAGTTAAAACATCTGTTAATTTATAAACCAATTTAACCATGACTGGTTAATAAATAGCTTCCAGCTGGCACCCCCAACCCGTGCCGGGCAAGGGGGGCTGGGGGGGGGCACAGCCGGGCTTGCTGCTCTCCCACAGCCCCCCCGGGGTCATTGTCACTTGTCCCCGTGGGGGTGTCCCCGGGGTCCCCGGGGATTCACTGTGAGAGCCTGGTTCCCGCTGGGGGGGGGGCAGGACCACGGTGCCTGGCACAGGGGGGTCCCGGGGGGATGTAGGGGCTGGGATGGTGCCCAAGGGGGGGTCTCTGGTCATGCGGGGTGGGGGGGGGATTTGAGGACACGGGGACCTGGGGGTGGGGTCTACCCTGCTGCGGGGGGGGTTTGGGGATGGGGAGGTGGGAGGGCTGGGTGGAGGGAGGTGTGTGTGTGTGCATGTGCATGTGTGTGTACATGTGTGTGCATGTATGTGCCAGGGTATGTTTGTGTGTGCATCTGTGTGAATGTATGTGTGTGTGTGTATCTGTGTGTGTGTGTGTGCCAGGGATGTGCATGTGTGTGTACATGTATGTTCATGTATGTGCCAGGGTGTGCTCATGTGTGCATCTGTGTGAATGTATGTGTGTGTGTGTGTGTGTGCCAGGGCTGTGCACGTGTGGGCATCCCTGTGTGTGTGCACAGGAGTGTATGTGTGTGTCTGTGCACATACATGTGTGGTGTGCCAGGGATGTCCACGTGTGTGCATCCATGAGTGTACATACACGTGTGTGCGTCCATGTGTGTGCACATGTGTGTGCACGTGTGCTGTGTGTGCACACAGGACCACTCCCACATGTGTCCCACCCCAGCAGGGCCAAGCAGGGCCAAGCAGGGCCCCCCTGTCTCTCCTGCCACCCCCACGGATCCAGGGGCTGGTGACGTGTCCCCGGCCCTGTGGAGCACCACCCTCGTTGCTCACGGATCCAGGATGGATGCGGTGGAGAGGGGTCTGCCCCCGGCACTGGGGGGACCCCACTCCTGCCCCCC